GATCGTTCAGGTTGATATATTGTGGAATATAATAAGAAAATGGAAGATGGATTGGTTCTGTTATGTTGATATCACCCATGTTGTTGTTGTTTTCTGTTTCAATAAACAAGGATTGTACGTCACGCAAAAACAATAATTGTGCTGATTGAAATTGAGTGTATGCAGGAATTTTTTAAATGCAATTGTTTCGGTTGGAGTAAAATGGGTTGATGATGAAGAACAGCAAGCAATAAGTTCTCTATACTCTGTTTCCATTGGTTGGGGTTGGTATTTTTATTAAATATTCAGTGGAGTCTAACTTCGATAAAAAATATTTCATCTTTCAAAGAAAGTTACCTAGCACTGGGAAGAGGAGCTTTTTGGATATTCTGAATAATATTTCATCTCTTTTTTCTGTAACCGTATTTCTTATTAAAGTCATCATCATTTCTTAAGTTCTATTGTCAAGATAATGACCTTGTCAGCAAACACAATCTGTCATGAAGTCAAACGCTGACTGATGTTTTTCATACTCATTGTTAGAACGTTATTTACACAGTGAATTGACGACTGATTTTTCAGATTTCTTTGCACACGTTGGATGCATACCTGTGACTGGCCGGTAGGGGATGCTTACTTCTCCATGGCACCTGATCCAACCTCGGATATTATAGAGGTTCGATGTTTGATCTGCTCCCAATTTGTATTGTTTTAATTAATAGTCTTTTGGCTTAATCATTATCTCCGTATACATGTATTTCATGTATGTAAAACTTAAATAACGCGAATTCTTTACTTTGTTGAATGTAAACCATCAAAGACTGGGTATAATGCAGATAAGTTTATGATTAGAGACAAATACTTTGTTTTAGCTTACACACTTATACAAATTCAAGTAAATCAAAATTACATTACCTTCTTCTCATTTCATTTTTACAAACAGATTCAAAGTGTAACAGACTTGTGATGGTGTTATATGATAGACAACAAGGCTGTTTATTCGAGTTGACAAGACGTATCTTTTATTACGATGGATCAACAAGATAGTAGTCATCAAAACCCTATAATGAAATATTAAATTATAAATGTTTAGCATAAAACTATAAAGCTATAAATCAATATACATGTACCATTAATATATTATTTAGCTTTATCAAAATCAAGGGAGATAATCCAATTATATGAAAATTACACAATAAAATCTCCAACTGCTTTAATCAATGAATATCAACAATAAAATCTTTATAATTATTATCATTCCAATGTACGAGGGTCATTCAAAAAGTTCGTAGACTTTTGTCCTAGCATTTTTATTTGACGTCATATTATTCCAAAATTTGGTACAAATATTTTAACAACAGATTCAAATAATTTGAGTAAAAAATTGGAATGTATCTTCATATTTATTAAAATTACCAAGGATTTAAAACAGCAAAAATAGGGTCACGGAGCACCGTCAAAATTGAGTAATTTACTAATTTTCACTTTATTGTATTTACAGCCATACCTCTAATAAATGGAGCTGAAACGAAATAAAATTTACATGTCTAAATAAAGTATTGTTGTATTAATTAAAATGAAATCAGGTTATGTAATATGTCGCTCCATTTAAAAGATATCAGTTTCTAAATACATATGGACTTGATTTAAAAAAGCAAAAAACCATGACATTGGAGGACGTCACTGAGCAGCAAGTAGCAATATAATTGTACTTTACATTCGGGAAACTTCTTCTACAAGCTTAAAAAATCCGTATAAACCAGGATCTGTATGTAAAATAATCTGTGTATTTGTATGAAATGGAAAATACAATTTTTGAGTGGTAGCGAGGTTGAATCGGACGATGGATTGTCTGCAAAGAAACAGGTTAAAGTTAAAAATATTGTCGAAAGAGTCAGGAACGTCATGGAACGTGATGTGTGTTTCATTGTTGCAGAATTAATAGAGTTACATGGTAAATCAAAGAATTTGAAAACAATGATATTCTTATTCAAGCTATATCTGTACAATTGTTCGCAAACTAGGTGTTAAGTGTTATGGATATGTTTTTTGAATGGAGAAGACTCTACAAACCGTGTTTGAAATTAAGAAAATTAGTATAATTTTGACAAACTTTCTCAACGTTGTCTTTGACGTTACAATGTTAACCCTTTGACGTTACAATGTTGGTTAACTGTGCTCCGTGGTAACAAAACATGTTGGTTTAAATTTTGGCTAACATGAGTTATATTTAATCAAATGGAATGCAACTTCACACTTCGACAAAATAAATGTTTATGTTTTCGAAAATGTGTTGATCTATAATCTTGTAATAATTATATGACGATGAGAAGCATTGCCTGCATATTTTTTGAATAACCCTCGTATATGTACATAAGGAATTATTGTTCGGCATTAAAACAATTAACATGCATACCATTCAATGGGAATGGGTCAAACGCTGCACAACAGCATATAAGCTGCATACACACAGCAAAAGAATAATTACTCAATATCTACAAATCAACAATAAACAACTTGTAGATATCTACACTAATCATAAAATAAAGTTTACTTTAAAAATATGAAAAAGTGAGACAGCAATGTATTTACTATAAACACATGACTAAATATCTAAGGTCTCACTCTCACTATACATTTACTCCAGAAAAGTGATTTAAGAATTAAGTGCAAAAATTACAGATTTTACATTTAATAGAATTAGAATCTTATTACTTATTAGTCTGAAAGAATTACCATGCAAGAGGAAGTGTTGGTCTCTATGTCATATGTCAGATATGTAAAACAAGACAGTATACTCAATGACAAAACTGAAACACTTCCAAGACCAAGCAAGAATTAACCAAAAACACAAAGAAAACTTGGAGGGAAATACAAAAACCAATAGCAAAGCATAAGACAACACTAAAAAACCAATGAAACTAAAAGATACAAAATGACCATGGCCAAAATATAATTAAAGCCCTGAGGCTAACTCTGGACCTCTCTGGAAAAGAATAATTTAGAAATCAATACACTTAACTACAGGTTAAATGAGTAATTGTGTAATTCAGCTGTAGAAGTGTGCTACAAATAAAAACATACATAATTGAATTATGTGCATAATATATAAAAACATGAGTCTGTCACAAAAGTATCCTCTATTCCGTGTAGATTATCATCATTAACACTAATTAACAGCAATCTTGCATCAGCATTACATTTTAAAATCTTATGAATAGATTATTGCTCACAGCCTCCGTACTATACTTTGCTCCTGTAACGTGATCTAGTGAGGATCGAATGTTTGCATATTTGAAAATTCAGAAAATTTAATTTTAAATAACATAAAGAATTAGGAACTTCCCGATAAATCTTTTATAAAATATGATGAGTAAATACTATCTTAATTTCCTTGAAATTACCAGGGTTTGTAAACAAACCTACATGAAACTTGGCAGACAGTCATAAAATGATTAACACTTCAAGCCAATACTTAATTACATCCATAAGATTCATAATTATGAGCAAATCGACTTAATTTTCACAATGGATGTATGAACTGATCTGGTTTCAAGAGAGTGTTTGTACACTAAATTGTTATTAAAGCATCAAATAAGGAATATCATTCATGAGTCACTTTGTTCTTAATCAACGCTCGTCAGTGATGTGCCACTGAAGTAAAATGATAACATTTCAGCGTTACTTTTTTATGTATTATGACATGCATATGTATATTACTCTGTCCAACTTAGTTTTCTGCACATTTTTTTCTGGAAGCTCGCAGTTTTTTAACTTAATTTTAGTTTACGAGTGAAATGTGAACTTGCCAGGTATATATATAATTGCATTGAACTGGCTCAAATTGTTTAATTGTCAATAGATTTCATGAAATATATTTTAATACAAGGCATTGATATTAATAAAAAAAAATAGGAAAAAATATATTTCTTATTCTATAAGATGAAATATTTTGAACTCGATTAGTCATCAATTATATATAATAATAATAATATAATTATATATAATGTGTCAACAATAGAACACCGAAAACTTAAAGGTTCCGAACACATTGATAGGGGTGGATATATTTCCTCTGATTCATTCGCTGACACTTAGTCAGGGAAGCAACTATGTATGAAATAAATTATTCGTGAAAGATTACGAGTGTTGATGTATTGGCCTGATTTTTAAGGTAATTTTTTAATATAAATTTATAACAAAAGATACAACAAAGTCCTCACCTTGAATAGAAATATCTCGATTATAAGGAAGTTACAAGGTTACCATGTCCCTCATATCAATTTTCCTTTTTTATGGATATAAATAAAACTCGCTCCGAAGGAAATTATAAACGTTTCGGATCCTGTTCGTTAATATCAGATAAAATACAAGACAAATTAGGAAACTTTTAAAACTTTAAAAATTTTATTTTTTCAACGGAATAAAGAAAACAAAAACAAAAATATTAAATAATCATATCATGAAATATAAACAAAATGGGGACGTCAGAAACAAAAAATAAAATAAACCTGGAAAATGATTAACAAAATACAGCAAATACCACAAGACAATATCACGCGTAACATACTATCACAAATATTTGGGACTTTTATGTATCACATCAATTAGAAACAAAAAAGAACATAAATCTATTATATTTATCTTAACTAAGGAATATAAAATATATACCTATTCATGAAGTATGTTTGACGGTTCTGTGAGAAATAATACCCGGTAGATTGTAAATTTACATCATATAATTTTGTTAAACAAATGAAGAAAAAAAACTTGCCAAGCTATATTGATCACAAATAAATGCTGGAAGACATTCTAAATGAAAACGCAGGCTCGTGCAAAAATTGAAATAAATCTTTTAAAAGATATGTTAGCAATTTTTTTCAGCGAAAATATGTAAGGGATCCTTAATACAGCGACATAACAAAATACAGGAGCAGAAAGCATCTAATTTTAATTAGATTTTGGAGATAAAGTACACAAGCTCAAAAGTTCTTTAAACAATATAAATTCGGAGCAGAGCATTCACGAACCTCCATAGAGGTGGAATCATGTGCCATGGAGGAGTGAGCATCCCCTGCTGACGGATGAAAAAATTGGAAAATAAATGAAAATATGACGTACTTGTATTGACAATTTCTTTACAGTTATACGTGTGTGTGTTGCATTACATTTCATATAAGGGTTTCCTACAGATTTTAGGAATTTACTTTAGATGACTTGATATGAATGACTTCTCTTGAAAAATCGTGAGATCTTGGTGGTTCTTCGGTCGAGTCAGTATTTTGTTCACAATGTGTGTCTTCTCTCACTGATGTATTGGAGGTATTTCTCAGAGCCTCGTTTTGAGAACTGTTTTCTCGGAGAGGGACAGGGGATATTGATGGAGATGTCAAGCTAACACAGAGATCGTTCAGGTTGATATATTGTGGAAGATAATAAGAAAATGGAAGATGGATTGGTTCCGTTATGTTGATATCATCCATGTCATTGTTGTTTTCTGTTTCAATAAACAAGGATGGTACGTCAGGCAAAAACAATATTTGTTCTGCCTCTCGAATCGTTCTTAATTCACTGTATTTGCCTTTTTCTGCAATTTTCTTTGCTTTAACCAAATGTTTCAAGGCTGTATCATTATCGCCTTTCAAATGCCATAATCGAGATTTAGCGATAGAAAAATACATTTGCAAACGATATTCGGAATCTATTGAGTCATATTTGTCAAGCAGTCTTTCTGCTTCTAGTAAAATATAGGAGGGGCAATTAAAGTGTTCAATAAAGCGACAACGCATCCCTAATCCCAAGAAACAGCTAAGTAATCTAAACATAAACCTTCGGGTCCAAAAGACTTGGACGTCTTCCGGCTCATTTTCCAGAATTTGTAGTGCTTTTCGAGTATGTTCATAAATACAGTCCAACATTGCTTGACGGTAATGTTCAAACCAAGCTCTTAAGAAAAGGACTATCTTATAAAGCATGTCGACAACTTCTAAACAGTTAGAAACTCTATCCGCGCAAATCAGACCTTCTTTCACCAAGTCATCGCCCTCTTCCTTTCTGTTGGCAAACGACAAAACAACAGCTCTTCTTCCGTACAACATACACCGGGATAGGTCCGGACATGATGTCATAGATATGATGGCTTCCATATCCTTAAAAAGTTGATGGTCGGGATCAATTGAATTTGTCTTGTTGGCCTGGGAGTCAACCGTTAGAGCTAACAAGACAACATATTTATCGCATACTTCTTGAAGGTTTCTTTCTCCTGAACAAGGAATAGGAGAGTAAATTTTTTGCCTTATTTTCTTTGAGAGATCTGTGAAGTAATCTATGGGATCATGAAATACCATATTCTGAATATTTATCTTCATTGATTCAAAGTACACTTGAATTTTCTTTCTGTTTGAAGTATTTATTTTGCTAACAACTAGTGGGTTTCCAGTAAACGATTCTATCAGACTTTGGTATGTATTATATAACTGCTGCGCATGGTTCACACATCCAAATCCGTGTAAAACGAATATAACATATCGTAAACCTAACACACATCTTCGTGACAAGTAGGAGGTGAGTAAATTGAACACTTTGCTCTTGGTTTCGCCTCTCCATGGATACAATTTATGGAGGTACACATATAGCTCTTCACTTATTAAACATCTTAATTTGAACACTCGAAGAAGTTGAGAAAGTTCACTAGAATTGAGTGTACAAAGGAATCTCTGAAGTGCAATTATTTCTGTTGGAGTAAAATGGTTTGATGATGATGATGAGCATCGAATAAGTTCTTCGCATTCCATTTATCCATTAACTGGATTCGACTCTTCTGTTAGAGTTCGGCATCTGAAATTGAAAATCGGCATATAATTTGAAGATGCAAAAGGGACTCCTGAATTATATTCCGTCCCTTATTTTCATTATACGATGAAAATTAAAAAAAATACCCTAATATAGAATCGTGAATCATTCTTACAACATAATTGTTTGAATTTTTAAAAAAAAAGACGAGTTTCATTTGTTTTGTTTTCCACTGTGGAACACGAATTTAATGTGGTATGCATGGATTTTGACAGCTTACATTACCTTACATCACATTTTAGTAATATTAGTTGGTTTTAGGAAGTGTCACAGTGACATATCAAGGACTCTTGAAAATGGTGGCCCGACCTGTTTAGGGTAGGGGTAGGGGCCCATAGCCATCTTATCCATATTTTGGACACGAAAGGGGGACCGGTGTAAAGACGAATAATGACCCCCATCGAATAATGACCGGGGGGTCATTTTTCAACGACAAAAAATGACCCCCACCCGTAGAAAAAAATCATTTTTTGTAGAAAAAGGGTCCTAGGGGGTCATTATTTTATATGTTAGTCCTATGAAATAATGACCCCCATTGAAAAATGACCCCCTCTAAAGTGATACAAAATACACACTCTTTGATATCTTTTTTACAGCGAAACTAATTTTTACATTTTCTGTGACCAGAAAAATACAAAAAGTCGTATGAAATAATTAAGAGATTCACGTAGTCTTTCAATGCTAAAATTGTGTTTGAAAAGAGATTCTTTAATTGTCAAGTAAATAAATTTTCTTTTTAATATTCCTCCTTATAGAGTTTGCTTAAAGAATGATATTCCACTTGTTTTTAGAAATCAAACCATGCAAAAATCAGGTTTAAATTCTCTTTAATAGGAAAAATTAAATTTTCCGTCATTTCAACTTTTAGTTTGTTTAAGTTTGGCAAATCCTATTTGACAATGAAAGAGGAGGAAATTTTTATCCCCCCCCCCCAAAACAAAGAAAGAACATTACGTTAAATCAAAACAAAAAATAATAATAATTAATGAAAAGCAAAAATATAAATAAAAATCTATACCTTTCAATAATTCTGAAAAAGGCTCTAGATAAAATATTGAAATGAAGTTAAGCCCTCACACAAGTACTATCATATCATAATTTACTTCGCCATGATTAAAGCATACTTTAAATGTTGGTGGAGGTATACTTGAAAGTATTGTGGCAAAGTAACAGTAAAAAATTAGTAGAATAGTAGATTATTTTTAGCTTATTTATAATTCTTCTTATAGAAAAATAAAGGTAGATGTTTTTTTTTTTTTTTTTTTTTGCTTTTTTTTCAATACCGACTTCCTCCTAAATAAGAAAGGGGGTGGGGTAAGTATAAGACCTAAAAATATGCTCTGTAAAGCTATGGGCTAGTGTAAAATACACAGTCATTCTAATGCAAAAACTATACATGTAGACATAAACTTTTGATTTAGCACACAATATTCATTACAATTCTTTTAACGTAGAACCTACTTCGTATGACATCATAACTGGTAAATACGTTAAACCTGTGCTAACCCATTAAGACGTCATAATTACTTAGTAATTCAATACCACTTTTTCCCGTACTTGACAGCTTCAATAAAAATGGTAGAAAATACTGCATTTTGAAATTCACAGAATTCAATCATGCCAACATAATCTTAATTCAATTCATATATTTTTTGGTTTATAATGCTTAATGGCAATATTTTTCTGGAATAAGAGAAAATATATAGGCACTTTTTATTTACTAGATCTAGACCTGAAGTTTACAAGCCCAAGACTATCTAGTGTAATGAAATTACAATGTAAATACAACTCAGTTTCGTAATAATTTGAATGGTATGTAACCATTTTGAAGAAGTACATAAATCGTAAGTAATCTTAAGTTGCCAGCTATATACTAAGTAGTGTAATATCTTGATGAAATGTGTCTAAGTCAAAGATGTACGTGTTGTAGATCGTTTGATCGTGTGTACATTTTTGTGATATCTATAATGAAATGATGTGCATTCCTTTTAACAATTATTTGTTACCTATTCATATTCTTGGTGTTTGATTACAATTTTTCTATTAAATATGATCTTTTTAAAGTAAAAGTATAATTTCTGATAAATATTTAATCTGAAAGTAACCCCAAACAGTCAATTAATAATTAAATCCCCTGTAAGTGCAAAAAGGTCAAGAATATGAGTATCGGTAAATAGCCTATCTTTCATTAGTTAGAGGGGAAAAGGTATATATTTTAATCATTTTTTGTAATCATTTGGCTATATTCTTCATCATATTGAAGATTGAAAACATTGTGACAAAGACTTCTAAAAAATATTTACAAATATAGGGTGCATAATTGACTAAAAATAAAAGAGTTCATTTGACTATTTTTTTTAATGGTGAACTTATATTTTATGTTAATTGAATAAAAAAGAAATTATTCTTGATAAAATATTGTTGAATATTATTCAGTTAAAAAGTTTATAAACGACGATGTTTGAAGAAGTATTTTTGTGATTTTTCATATTCCCTTTATGACAAGTACCCCTAAAAAAATTGAAAATGTGAAGTCGCAGTATGTAAATACCATACCAAGTTTCACAGCCTGTTTTAGATTAAAAAACAAGGAAACATATTATGACATCTTAAGTGATTGATAAACAAGTACTAATTTATCATTTTGAAAAGTTTGAAAATCTTGTGACAAAGACTTTTCCGACGTAGGTTCTACCTTAATTCTTGTTTTACTCCACCCTTTTACTCAGTTATGAGTATATTTTTCAGAGAATTTAATATGAAAATCAGAACAAACATTTTCATTGTTGTAACGTCTTCTTTATCATGTATATTAATATGAAAAGTTAATTGAAGGCCATTTCTTTTTATGTCCCCGTAATCGAAGATTCGGGGGTATATAGTTTTATCGTGTTCGTCTGTATGTCCGTCTGTCTATCTGGCGGTTTGTTTGTCCGCAAAAACCTTAACCTTTACCATAACTTTTCATTTATTAGAGCTATGACTTTCATATTTAATATGTATATTCCTTGTGACAAGACCTTACTTTGGGTACCACTAAATTTGACCTTTTGACCTTTACCTAGGAGTTTGTCCCATTTTACACAAAAATGCCAAATTTTTACTTTGGCCATAACTTTTAAACGATAGATACTAGTTCTCTCATACTTCAAATATGTAGTTTTTTGATCATTATCTTTCATTGGATACTAAAAACCTTGACCTTTTGACCTTGACCTTGGAGTTTCCGGTACTTATGATTTTTTTTACCTTGGCCATAACTTTTGAACGGTAAGGGCTAGGGTATTCATACTTCACATATGTAATCCTTGTTACATAAAACATTTTCTTAAGAAATCATCAACTTTGACCTTTGAGTTTGACCTACCTTTCAAAAACTTATCCTTAGCCATTACTTTTGAACAAGTGGTGCTAGGGCTTTCCTATTTTGCAGTTGTATTTCTTGTGAGAAGACCCTACTTTGGGTAACAATATATTTAAATGGCATTTAAGAAAGGTTTAATCTTCGCTATGTTGTCATACAGGGGCATAGCTGTTTCACAAACACATCTTTTTATATATGAGGATTTGCGGATAAGAGATGGATACCTCAAAGCGTAACAGACGGACGGACGGACATCCCGAACACTATATACCCTCCCGCTTTTCAAGCGGAGGATATAATAATATATAATACTGCTGATTTTTTCTGTCAGTTCGATGATTTCCACCATCAAAAAACAATGTTTACCTAATTCTTAAGGCTTGATAAATCTTTTACTCCTGTAGATTCTGAATCATTGCATTTACCTTAAAATATTGCTATAATTGTATAATGTTATGAGATCAACATATCATCAGTTTATTCCCAATAAGCTTTGGTGAGCATTTTGGCCAATATGCTTCTTTATCTAATTTTTTTTGCCCCCCTAAAAATTTTAGCTTTAATCTACAGGGGGTCATTTTTCTACGGGGGTCATTTTTCTTCACGTGGGTTCTGCAAATTTTTAGGGAAGTGACACTTTTTCTACGGGCAAAAGGGTCATTTTTCTACGTCGAATAATGACCGGGGGTCATTTTTCGCTGTCGAAAAATGACCCCCGGTCATTATTCGATGGGGGTCATTATTCGTCTTTACACCGGGTCCCCTTAGCCTCTAAATCTACCAGTATGTAAGGTTGGTGTATTCACTCTCATGTTTTGTATTTTACAATCTTCGCGGAAACAAGAAAAAATGGCTAATCCCTTGGGTTTTTTAAAATCATAGTGTTTGTATTTTGTAAATATTATGTCTGTTTAAATATTAATTTTATTACTGATTAACTTCAGAAGTTTACTTCTGAAAACCTCATGAAAAGTGCAATGACTACATTGCCTGCTGAAAAAAGGGCTACTTAACTTCTACGTCTATTCTGAGTATATTTATATGCGGAATAGATATTGAATTCTTGTTTCTTTCAATCTTTAAGGACAGATCAATTAAAGTTATTTTTTTAAAGATTTCGTTTTTAAAATAGATTATTTCAATGCGAAAAAACTGTCCTCTTTCTTTATTCGTTCTTATTTTGTAGCATATATGAAGTATTGCCTTGGGTTAAGCCTCGTTTGACAGTTGTTTTCTTGGGTTGAAAAAATTTAAAACTCGACTTAGTTATTGCATTCTGATATATTCTTTGTTTAATTAACACAGGCCTTCAGTATGACATGGTTATGTTTCCATTACCTATCAGCAAAGATACATTATCATTTATTTTAATACATGGCACCTGATCCCCCTCTGATGTTCTGGAGGCCCATGTTTGGTCTGCTCCTATTTTGTATTGTTTAATGGACTTTTTGATTTTGAATACTGTTCGTTATCTCCATATATTTCACACAATGTATTTTGCGTTTTGTTCTAAACTACAACAATTTATACATTTAAATAGGATTGTTTAATTAATAAGTTCTGTAATTTGTCAAGGCACCCTCAGTAAAAAGAAAACAGCATTCTGATA